AAAAAATTTCCATATAAATGATAAAAGCTAATTTCTTTAATATACAAAGGATTCTGAAAAACTAATATGGTCATTAAACAAGGAAGATACTCAGACTTACTTTTAGTTGAAGAAACAAACATGGGATGCCATTTAAAAATTTTTTATTAATAGACTTTATTTTTTTAGTGAAGTTTTAGGTTTACAGAGAAAAATTATGCAGAGTTCCCATGTGCCTCCTCTTGTTGCATTAGCTAGGATTTCTAGCAGGATGTTGAATAGGAGTGTTGAGAAGGGAACATCCTTGCCTTGCTCCGCATCTTAGGGGAAAGCATCTGGTTTCTCACTATTAAGTATGATGTTGGCTGTACATTTGTTGTAGATGTTTTTATAAAGTTGAGGAACTTACTCTTTATTTCTAGTTTGCTGATAATTTTTATCATGAATAGATGTTGGATTTTGTCAAATGCTTGTTTTGCATCTATTGATATAATAATATAATTTTTCTTCTTTAGCTTGTTGATGTGATGGATTACCTTAATTGGTTTTCAAATGTTGAACCAGCCTTGCATACCTGGAATAAATCCCACTTAGTCATGGTGTATAATTCTTTTTATACGTTGTTGGATTTGATTTGCTAATATTTTTATTTTTGCACCTGTGTTCATGAGAGATATTGATCTGTAGTTTTTCTTTATTGTAACATCTTCTGCTTGTTTTAGTCTTAGGGCGATGCTGACTTCGTAGGATAAGTTTGGAAGTATTCCCTCTGCTTCTGTTTTCTGGAAGAGATTGTAGAGAATTGGTATCATGTCCTCCTCAAATGTTTGGTAGAATTCACAAATGAAACCATCTGGGCCTGGTGCTTTTTATTTTGGAAGCTTATTAATTATTGATTTCTTTAACAGATATTTTCAGACATTAACAGATATTTAACAGACAATTTCTTTAACAGATATAGGCCTATCATCTGTTTCTCTTTGTGTGAGTTTTGGTAGATTGTGTCTTTCAAGAAATTGGTCCATTTCATCCAAGTTATCTAATTTGGGGGCATAGAGTTTTTCATAATATTCCTTTATTATCCTTTTAATGTCCATGGGACCAGTAATGATGACCCCTATTTCATTTCTGATGTTAGTAATTTGAGTCTTCTCTTTTTTGTTTCTTGGTTAGGCTGACTAGATCAATTTTACTGATCTTTTCAAAGAACCAACTCTGATTTCCTTGATTTTCTCTAATAATTTCCTGCCGCTAATTTCATTGATTTCTGCTTGAATTTTTATTATTTCTTTTCTTCTGCTTATTTTGGATTTAATTTGCTTTTTCTTTTTCTAGTTTCCTAAGATGGAAGCTTAGATTACTGATTTTAGATCTTTCTTTTCTAATGTGTCCATTCAATGTTATGCTTCCCTCTAAGCACTGTTTTCACTGCATCCCACAAATTTAGATAAGTTGTAGTATTTTCTGTTTCATTTAGTTCAAGATTAAACATGAAATGCCATACTTCATCTATCAGATTGGCAAAAATGTTAGTTTAATAATACTTAGTGTGGGTCAAGGTGTAGGGAAATAGGCATATTTATACATTGGTATTGGAAGCGTAGACTAGTTCAGCCATTTTAGATGGCGATTTGTACATAGCTACAAAAATTTAAAAGGGATATATGTTTTAATTTAGCAATTCCACTCCCAGAATGTGCAGATGTCTGTTCAGAGGTGTCATGTATAGGCCATGTATGTCTAGGGGGCAGAGTTTGCTATAGTAAAAAACCTGGAAACAACCTAAATGCCCATTAATAGAGGACTGCTTCCCTATATTATGTCTATTCAATGAACTACTACGCAAGAAATGGAGTACACCTCTACACACTAATATTGAAAGATGATCGAGATACACTGTCAAGCGAACATGCAGGCTACAGGAATAGTATATTTGATGTGATAGCATTGGGGAGTTTTTAAGATCTGTTCTATGTGTAATATGCTTGGACTTGTATGAACACATCTGGAAAATCACAACTGTGGTTACTTCTGGGACAGAGGTGTTTGGGGGTCAAGGAGGAGGAGGGCATCTTTTGTTTTTCACTTTACACTTTCTTTACAGTTTGAATTTTTAACCTTGAATAAGTATTACATTTAATTTGAAAAATAGTTTTAAAACCAAATTGCAGATTTGTGCCCACAGGTGGCTCAAAGCACACTAAACATTTCCTTTTCTCACTCTTCCTTACGAGAAAGGCTGCCCACTGTGGCCTGTGGCCACCCGGGTCCTTTCATTTTATATTTAAGAGGATTTCAAGAAAGGAAAAAAAAACCCTCCTGACTACCCTACCAGATGGCACTGTTGGTGGCTGGTGGTTTCTAAATGAGGAAGATACACTATTTTTAAGCATTACAGAAAAAAAGGAAAATTTGTTTTCTTAGAAGTGTTTTAATAGAAAGGTAATTTAAACTCACTATCTTCAGAAACTAGAGAAACAGAATAGTCCATCTACTTCATTTACCATTTTAGTATTTTTCCTGAAGTCTTTTTTGCAATGCATAGGTCATATTTTGAATGGCTGTAATCCCAGGGAACATACACTATTGTAATCTGCTTTGTGCTTATGTCACACTATACTCATTTTCAGTGTTGCTACAGGGCCAAGAAACGTTAATTTTGAGGAATTATACATCCGATTCCTCAGAAAGAGCATAGAGTCTGGATTTAGGAAGGTACCAAACTAAAGAACATGCTGTTTGGGGAGGGGGCACTTCACCCCTCCCTCCTTCTGGAAAGAGAATCTCTGTGAATGGGCAGTGGGGGGCTTGGCTATGATTGGCACCTTTGTGTTCTGCACAAGTTTGCAAAGGAAAGCCAAAGTTTCTGAGGCTGCAGCTGAAACGCCACTTGCTCCTTTTGCTAAAGCAACTTGTGCTGAGTATAGTTGGGGAATTACAGCTTTTACTGAATCGTTGTCTGCTTGTCAACACATGCCCGAGATTGGATTGAGAATAATTTAAACTCATCTTTTCATTCTGTCTACCTTTTACTAGATATGGTTTCCGTAAATATAACCTGGATTTTCTTGAAAATCAGATTGGCAGCTTTGCATGACAACAAACAAGACTCCTGAGCTACCCAGCATGGAGGGCAGAAAACAGCCTCGGCTGCACCCTCTCCCGGCCAGCTGTGTTGACTCAGTGCAGCTGACCTCTCTGAACCTGAGCTTCCTCATCTGCGGAAGGGAGAGGGCAGCTGCGCCTGACTTGTAAGTTTATTGTGAGGATTAGACAAAACACGAGGATGGTGTTTGTAACAGAGATGGGCAAACAGAAAGCTCTCAATACATGGTAGCTAGCAACCAAATTCCACTTAGATAGTGAAATCTGAGGAAATACAAAACAAAGCACACGCATATATAGTTTATTACAAAAATGCAATGATATTGTACAAAGTATGTGTTTGTACCTAAGACCTACAGAGCAAGATGTTATCCATATTTTTCTTGAGCATCTATTATGGGCTAGGTGCTATTCAGAGACGTTAAGTGCTGATTGAGGCTCTCCGGGCTGGTCCATCTGAGTCCAAAGCCCTTTCCACCACAGCCCTCTAGGCCACCAATTCTGGAGTGTGGTGCCTAAGAGTTTAAACTTTTCCCTTCACTTAGGACGCCACAAGGACCACTTCAGCAAAATCATGCCAGGTATCCTTACACAGCGAGTCTGCCTTTTTATCTCCCCCATCTGCGGCAGGGCGGCGACTCCTGGATATTTCCTCCATCACCACTGTCAGAGCCACCCACTACATCTGAAATCGTCCTCCTGCCCCAGCAGAAGAGCTCCCCAATCCCTCTCCAGGCTCTCTGTCCCATTTCTTCCTCCTCTTTGAGGAGCTGGTTCCTGGGGGCACTTGGTTCCCCCAAACCTTGTCACTCACCAGCACAGGCCTCATTGTCTACCTTCCTGTGCCTGGATGTGGGATCTGCAGAGGGACTGAGCAAAGCTGCCTGGCCATTTCCTTCTCCAAGGACTGGGGCTGGGGCTAGAGGCAGGGTGGGCAGGGAAGGAATGGGGGAAGGACGAACTCTAGGTTTGCAGGAGTTGGGTCCTGTGGTGAATCCAGAACATCCAGCCCTGCAGGAGCCTGATCCAGGGGCATCCCCTCCCCTCCCCTGGAGCTGTGGTTATTAGAGACTCTGAGCAGACGAGTTAGGATGTTTTGGAGATCTGGGGAAGGGGCCTTCCCACCCCTCCTAGCCTTTCTGATTTCCCCAAAGCCCTTGTAGGAAATCCTCCCCATGTGTCTGAATACCTGCAGGCAGGCCTCAGTCTCTCCTTAACTGACACCACCACCTGGGCCCCAATCCCTCTGACAAGCGGAGGATCTTTCTGCCTTCCCCTTCCAGATCTAAGTAAGCTTCCAGCAGAAGCCACCTCTCTGCCACCACCTGGTTCTCATCCCAACAAATAAAACCATACAGCTCTCTCCAAAACAGGAGTGAATGCTCCCAGGACTCCGCCAGTCCCAGGAGCTTGGCTGGGCCCCACTCAAGTCAGGATTATGGTTATGCAGGCCACCGGGGCTGCGGGAGACCGCTCTGTACCTAGCCTCCAGCCCAGGGCTTGCACACAGGGTAATATAGGGCCGAAAGGAGAAATGCCTACACAAGCCCCTGGCTCATCAAATGGTCACACATTAGGCGCCTACTGTGTGAAAAGCTCTGTGGTGAAAACGACATCGGTGCTTAGACCCAGAATGACATCTGGAGACACGAAATCGTCAGTGACTTTTGTCAAAAGAGTCAGCCTTCCAACGAGGACAGCAAGTGAGCTGTAACAGTCCTTCCAGCGCGGAACATACCCATCTCCAGAACCTTCTCTGATGAGGCAGGGAACCTGCGCTGAGGTGAAACCTGATTACACCTTCCAGCCACACCCAAGATGGCCACCTGCCCCGGCCCGTTACTGAGCTCCGCGCAGGCGCGTTTCCTTCTGCCACTCCCAACATGGCACCACAGGCTCGCCCTCGGGGCGGGGCCAAGGGCGGAAGTGGGTGGGACAGGGACGGGAGCTCAGAGGGCACACAGACAAGATACTGGGGAGTGGGAGCCGCAGGGCCGAAGCGATGATCCCCCCGCAGGAGGCGTCCGCCCGGCGCCGGGAAATCGAGGACAAACTGAAGCAGGTGGGACTGGAGAGGCGGGAGAGGAGGAAAGGGAAGGACCGAGATCTGGGCCCGGGCATCTACTCAGGGAGGGGGCAGTGGTGGGAGGGGGCACTCCCTGCGAGGAGATGGGGCGGGAGTGAGGCCGTGGGGCCCCGATGCGGTGATCTCCTTTAGCCTCTGGCTTCTGGTGATGTCCTCCTCTCCGCTCCCCCTAGGAGGAGGAGACGCTGTCCTTCATCCGAGACAGCCTGGAGAAGAGCGACCAGCTCACCAAGAACATGGTGCGTAACCCCTCAGCTGGGAGGGGCAGACAGGCCTCCAGACCCTGGAAGTGAGCCCTACGATCCAGTGGTTCTGGTGCATAAGGCCTGGGGACTGACTGTGGTAATGTGTGGGTTTCTCTCTTACCCAGCTCTCTTCCCCTTTGTCCGCCCCTTGACTGAGGATGCTGCAGCCCCTGCTGGCCTGGACTTTCTGCTTTCTAAGTTCTCCATTGTTCCTTCTCTCCTTCCACAAACATTTAGTGAGACTGACTTAGGTGGGCTGGCTACTGGCCATGTGTCATCCCCAATTCAAGTGACGGTAGGATGACAGGGTTACCACTTCTGAGATTACTGAAGGCAAAGAAGACTCAGCTTTCACCCCAGAGGGTTTTAAGGGTAGAGGGAGACAGATCTGGGGTCTAGTCCTCACCTTTCCACTTACTGTGGCTCCTGACACATGACTCTGAGCTTCAGTTAACTCATCTGCCAAAACAGAGACAGTGCCAACCTCCCAGTGTGTCTATGAAGGTCATAGAAGTGATGCCTGGGAACACCTCTTGCACAGTACCTGGTATACTGTAGGTACTCAATAAATATGAGTTTCCTTCCTTATTCCTAGAGGATACTGGAAAAGCAAAAACTGAGTGGATACGAACTTGGAAATATATTTAGTAACAGAATCACAAAGTCCTCGTGTAACCACAGGCCTAGCAGGACCAGTTCAGCTGACCCCATCTTATCAACAGAGTAATTAAGAATTGTCTTTCAGGAACTGAAAGTCCCCCCTTGTCCAGTTCAGGCTGGTTAAGACCACCAACTCATCAACTGGGCCTGCACAAATGCCCGATGTGTGACCCTTTTGACGTCAGGGGGCTGAAAACTGCTCCCTTAGATCGTACTAACACGGCCATTTTGTGAACATGCGTCCTGTGAAGAGCCATGAAGCTTGACCACGCTTGCACAGATCACCGATTACCTCACTTCTTGCCTTCAATTGTCTGTCTCCACACTTCAGACCACCCTGCCCTTCATCTCGTAAACTTTGCCCCAAACCCTGGATCGAGGAGACAGATCTGAGCACATATAACTCTTGTCTCCTTGCAGATTGATCTATCAGTAAAGCTGTTTTCTTTTCCCAAAACCTGATGCCGTACTAATTGGCTTTTTATGCACTTCCGGTAGGAGGACCCCAATTTTGTGTGGTAACACTAGTCCTTATTTAATGAGATTCACCCTTAGGGAGAGAGAGTTTTGAAGGTAACAGCAATGCATTTGAGGCTACTCAGTATGAAACTACTTCCTCTTCAGTCTAGGAAACCTTCAGAGAGAACAGAAATTGAGATTTGGCTTCAGACGGTGGAAGGGAAGCCACCCTGGGGTGATTATCTTAGGAGGAATTAATTTAATGTTTGGCTTGCCTTCCAATCAAATTTCGACCAATTTATTTGGACTACCTCCTATGTGCCAGGCACATGGTAGGTGCTGGGGATTCCGTGGTGAACAGGTACACCCTGTCTCTCTTGTCATGGAGCTTAGTGCCTAGAAAACCAGCAAAATGGCAGGAGCAGTGCTAGGACCACCCTGAGGCCTGAAGAGCATGGTGCATCCCCCTGCAGGTGTCTATCCTCTCGTCCTTTGAGAGCCGCCTTATGAAGCTGGAGAACTCCATCATCCCTGTGCACAAGCAAACAGAGAACCTGCAGCGGCTGCAGGAGAATGTCGAGAAAACTCTATCCTGCTTGGACCACGTCATCAGCTACTACCATGTGGCCAGTGACACTGAGAAGATCATCAGGGAGGGGTGAGCCAGGGCCAGAGGGTCACATTCCTAACGCCTCCTGGACCAGCAGCCCGAGGTCTTAGAAGGGAGTGGTAGAATATATTTGAGCCTGGAGTCCCCTATGTTAATTCTCTTCTTCCCCTTCCAAATACCATTCCCTTGGTCTTTCCTCTTCATCTTCCATCCACCCAGGCTGATTCAGCTCTTTTCCTTCCCAGCCCCACAGGCAGGCTGGAAGAGTACCTGGGAAGTATGGCCAAGATTCAGAAGGCTGTGGAGTATTTCCAGGACAACAGCCCAGACAGCCCAGAGCTCAACAAAGTGGTAAGGAGCCAGCACAGTGGTATGAGAGGTTTGAGGATGCCAGTCCATGCCCTGGTCTCCTGAGGGATACTGGACCAGCTTAAAGGAGAATATAGTAGAATAAACAGAGCTATAGAATACAATACACATGCTGTAGGCATTAAGACCTCTGCTCAAGGAATTACAGCTATATATTTTTATAATTTAACTAAATTATAAATTACATATAAGATATCAATTTAAGACTTGATTTTTATAACTGCCTTTTTTTTTTGTTTTTTTAAAGATTGGCGGGGCCGGCCCAGTGGTGCAGCAGTTAAGTGCACATGTTCTGCTTCGGCGGCCCAGGGTTCGCTGGTTCAGATCCCGGGTGCGGACATGGCACCGCTTGGCAGACCATGCTGTGGCAGGTGTCCCACATATAAAGTAGAGGAAGATGGGCACGGATGTTAGCTCAGGGCCAGTCTTCCTCAGCAAAAAGAGGAGGATTGGCAGCAGATGTTAGCTCAGGGCTAATCTTCCTCAAAAAAATAAAATAAAATGTTAAAAAAAAAGATTGGCACCTGAGGTAACAACCGTTGTCAATCTTCTTTTTTTTTTTTTTTTCTGCTTTTTTCTTTCCAAATAGCCCTGGTACATAGCTGCATATTTTAGTTGCGGGTCCTTCTGGTTGTGGCATGTGGGATGCCGCCGCAGCATGGCCTGATGAGTGATGCCATGTCCACGCTCCAGCGATGTGGATCCGCCTTCCGCTGGATCCGAACCGGTGAAACCCTGGGCCACCGAAGCGGAGCGCACGAACTTAACTACTCGGCCACAGGGCTGGCCCCTGTGTCTTTTTTATTGTGGTAAAAAGTACATAATATAAAATTTATCATTTTAACTATTTTTTTTTTAAGATTGGCACCTGAGCTAACATCTGTTGCTGATCTTTTTTCTGCTGCTGCTGCTTCTCCCCAAAGCCCCCAGGACATAGTTGTATATCCTAGTTGTAGTCTTTCTAGTTGTGGCATGTGGGACGCCGCCTCAACATGGCCTGATGAGCGGTGCCATGTCCACATCCAGGATCTGAACTGGCGAAACCCTGGGCCGCTGAAGTGGAGCGTGTGAACTTAACCACTCGGCCACAGTCCAGCCCCTGTGTTTGATTTTTTTGTGTTTTATCTTTGTGTTCACGTATTGGGATAAGTAGGTCACCAGAGCAAGTTGGAGGAAGGCTGGGAAGTAAGGATTGTTCAACACATTGAGGAAAGGAGAGAATGCAGACGGGAGAAATGGTGAGAGCAGAGGTGCAGACATCCGAGGGGATGAGGGGGATTAGAGGAAGGGCCACGTGGACCAGTCCCCTGGCACCTTCCTGGTGGCACCACAGTTCTAGCCCTTAGGTGTGTCTCTTGCCCAGAAGAGGGAGTGGGCAGAGGAACAAAGATGAGAAACTGGCTTTTCTCCCACCCAGAAAGCTTTTGCTTAGAACAGTGCTTCCCAACTCTTCTCCCATCCTGGTCCACATCCTCAGAAATGAGGATATTTGGGGGCCAGCCTGGTGGTGTAGTGGTTAAGTTCATGCGCTCCCCTTTGGTGGCCTGGGTTTTGCCAGTTCGGATCCTGGGCATGGACCTACACACTGCTCATCAAGCCATGCTCATGTTTTCTATAAGCAAATGAAAAACATATAATTCTCATTCTTTTATATGTTCTGGATACCTGTCCCTTATCAGATACATGATTTGCAAATATTTTCTCTCATTCTGTGGGTTGTCTTTTCACTTTTTTGATGGTATCATTTGCAACACAAGTTTTTAATTTGACATGGTCCTATTTATCTGTTTTTTCTTTTGTCTACACTTTGCTAACAAGAAGAGAGTTTAAAGTGCGACAGTTAAGAGAAAATATCAGCCGATATTTATGAAGCACCTACTTGTTGTAAAACCCTGGGTTTCACCTAGGCACATATATTTTGAGAGAACATGAGGTAAAGAAATAATCAAGGAAGGCTTCCCGGCGGTTCTTCTCTGGGTTAAAGGAAGTGAAGGCAGAGGAGGGCCGAGGCCCAGAGTCAGGAAGGTGGAGGAGGCGAGGAGAAGGCGAGGGCTAGCTGAATGCTGAAGCAGCTTCCTTCCTCCTGTCCGCCCTGTAGAAGCTGCTGTTTGAGCGGGGGAAGGAGTCGCTGGAGTCTGAGTTCCGCAGCCTGATGACCCGGCACAGTAAGGTCGTCTCCCCGGTGCTCATCCTGGATCTGATCAGTGGCGAGGACGAGCTGGAGGTCCAGGAGGACGTGCCCCTGGAGCACCTGCCTGAGAGCGTGCTCCAGGACGTGATCCGCATCTCCCGCTGGCTGGTGGAATACGGCCGCAACCAAGGTGAGGTGGCCCAGGCGGTGGGGCCCACGGCAGGGCCGGAGGGGATGGGATTTTTTTCCCCTTTATTTCTTTAAGCTGTCTGGGTTTTTTTTTTTTTTAATAAAAAGAAGTTTAATAGGAAACAATATGAGCAATAAATCTACAGCTTATGTATCAAATTGTGAATCTAGCCAAATCAAGCTTTTCTTTATATAACTCACTTTCCTGTTTCTTTACATTTTTTTTATTAGTTCTAAAAATCTCATGGGCTGGCCCAGTGGTGTAGTGGTTAGGTTGGCGCACTCCGCTTTGGCGGTCCAGCATTTGTGGGTTCAGATCCCAGGTGCAGACCTACACAACACTCGTCAACCCACGCTGTGGTGGCACCCCACCTTCAAAATAGAGGAAGATAGGCACAGATATTAGCTCAGGGCCAATCTGCCTCACACACACACGAAAAATTCAAATAGTACAGAAAACCTTAGGTGAAAAGTAAAAATCCATCTCCCTACTTTCCTGATGCCTACAATATCATAACCCAAAGATGAGCACTGTTAAGGTTTATTTATACCCCTTCCAAAAAATCTTTCTGCAACTGTGTGTGTGTGTGTGAGAGACAATATAAATATGTGTGTATCCTCTTCTTCCCAAATGGAGGGGGCCCTACTAAACGCTGTCCTACAATTGCTTGTTTTTTGGTTTTTATTTTATTTATTTTTTTAAAGATGTGCTTTTTGGTGAGGAAGATTGGCCCTGAGCTAACATCTGTTGCCCATCTTCCTCTTTTTTTTCCTCCTCAAAGCCCCAGTACATAGTTGTATATCCTAGTTGTAGGTCATTCTAGTTCTTCTGCGTGGGACACCACCACAGCATGATTTGATGAGCACTGTGTAGGTTGGCGGTGCAGGATCTGATCTGGTGAACTCTGGGCCACCAAAGTGGAGCGCGTGAACTTAAGCACTTGGCCAAGGGGCCAGCCCCCTAGTTTTGGTTTTTAACGTAGTGAAATGCCTTGAGATTGTTCCGTATCAGTACGTGTAGATTTGCTTCATTCTTTTTAACAGCTGCATAATATTCCATGGTGTGGTGGTATCATCATTTCTTTAGCAAGTCCTAGGATTTAAAAAAAATAATTTTGAGTTAAGCAAAAATTTTAGAAAATAAAAATTCCAGTAAGTATTCAATTTTAAGCTTTTTAGCCCTCCAAACTCTTCTTCTGTTTGTTAATTTGTTAGTGTGTACACACACCAAGTTATTAGTATGCATTACAATTATCTCTGCCTTCCCTTGAGGACTGCGTGGTGATAGATCTCAGGGCTGCCATGTATTGACCACAGGAATAAGTCTGTGGCCCATGAGCTGTGCTAGGGGGCACCTGGGGCTCAGCAGGAGGTTTTTAGGGGCTCCCTCAGGATAAGAAGGAGGCAGAGGACAACCTCGAGACCCTTCAGTGCCCTTCAGCCAGAGCCTCTGTGATTTGGTCCATTTTTTTGTTTGTTTTAATGGTGCAGAATCTGTTGTGACACTACTTTCTTTTCTTTTTTTTTCCTAAAAATTGGCCCTGAGCTAACATCTTTTGCCAATCCATTTTTTTTTTCCTTCTTCTCCCCAAAGCCCCCCAGTACATAGTTACATATTCTGGTTGTGAGTGCCTCTGGTCCTCCTATGTGGGACGCCACCTCAGCATGGCCTGATGAGTGGTGTGTCGGTTTGCACCCAGGATCTGAACCAATGAAACCTTGGGGTGCCAAAGCAGAGGGCACGAACTTAATCACTCAGCCACGGGGCCGGCTCCAGATTTGGTCCATTTTTTACCTTGGGGTTCCTTGTGACCTATTTGTTGGGGGCTGCTGAAATGTACCACGGTGTCCCTGGGTTTTCCTCACTTGTTTGCATTTTTGGACTTTCCAGTTTTCCACTATTGATGAATAGTGCTGCAGTGAGCACACTTGTGTGAATTGCTTTTCTTGTTTAGGGAGCTCTTTGAGGTGTTTCTCAAAAGTGCAATTGTCAGACGGAAGTGTCCGAACAGCTCTGTGACCTTCCTGCTGTCACGAGTTCCTCTCCAGGTGGACGGGGCCAATCAACACACCTGTCGACACTGCCGCAGCTATTTGTTCTCCATTAATTTTATTTATCTTAGCTATGTAGTAGGGCTAATTTTTTTTAAATTTGCACTTCGTTAATGGCTAAACCTGGTGTGTTTTTTCATTCACTGGCATTTGTTGTCTCTTTGCCTCCTATAAATTGCTCACATCTTTTTTTTTTTGAGGAAGATTAGCCCTGAGCTAACATCCGTGCCCATCTTCCTCTACTTTATACGTGGGGTGCCTACCACAGCATGGCTTTTGCCAAGCAGTGCCATGTCCGCGCCTGGGATCTGAACTGGCAAACCCCAGGCCGCCGAGAAGCAGAACATGCAAACTTAACCGCTGCACCACTGAGCTGGCCCATAGTTTGTTGTTTTGTTTTTTGTTTTTTGTTTTTTTTGAGGAAGATTAGCCCTGAGGTAACTGGTGCCAATCCTCCTCTTTTTGCTGAGGAAGACTGGCCCTAAGCTAACATCCATGCCCATCTTCCTCTACTTTATATGTGGGACGCCTACCACAGCATGGCATGCCAAGCCGTGCCATGTCCACACCCGGGATCCGAACCAGCATACCTTGGGCTGCCGAGAAGTGGAACATGCGAACTTAACCGCTGTGCCACCGGGCTGGACCCCTGCTCGCACCTTTTAACCCGTACCAAGTCGAATCAGGATGTTAACTGTCTATTTTTTATCTAAAACACCTTATGTTCAAAACTTCCAACTAATTATCTTTCCTCTGCCTGATTTGGGACAAGGCCACGTGGGTGGCTAGGAGCCAGAGCAGATCCAAGGAAGGGGTCAGCGGACAGAAATAGCAGCCTCCTGTGCTGCCCTGTGAGCTGCATCCAGAGGGGAAGGGGGCTCCCGTGGCAAGGCAGAGGCAGGGGCCCTGCTCATACCTCTGTCGCCCCATCTCTCCTCAGATTTCATGAACGTCTACTACCAGATTCGCTCTAGCCAGCTGGACCGCTCCATCAAAGGCCTGAAGGAGCATTTCCGGAAGAGCAGTTCCTCCTCTGGCGTTCCTTACTCCCCTGCTATCCCCAACAAGAGGAAGGACACGCCCACCAAGAAGCCTGTCAAGAGGCCAGGTGAGCCTGACCCTGGCCCATTAAGCACCAGCCAGAAGGCTGCAGGGGATCTGGCTTGCTTTTGGCCGCCCTGGGGTTAGCAGTGCCGGCCCCTCCAGAGCTCATGGTGATCCCCACTGTATATAAACAAGACAGAAAGCAACGACCCCACCCCAGGCCTCGTCGAGTGAGGCTCTTCCTTCTACCCAGAGGAGTCTGAGGGTTACATAAACGTCTTTGGAATCGGGCGGGGGAGGATCCCAAGACATGAGAGGCGGGTGACAGGGTGTCCAGGCAGAGGCACTTGCTGGGCCCCCTTCCCCTCCCTCTTTTGTCCTGTCAGGAGACCAGGCATGCTGCTGCAGCCAAAGACCGTGAGATGGGACAGGGTCAGGCACTGCAGCCTTCACCTTCCAGAAGGCCAGGCTGGCTTAAAGTGATGCGTAGCTGAGGAGTGGATCGGGGAGGGTTTATACTTTCAGAGTTGATCTAGGAAGGAAAAACAATCCGACCATCCTCTCTGGAGAACTTAATCATGGGAAGTCCGTGCCTCGCAGCGGGAAAGTCGAGGGCGGAGTGTTGAGGTGGGAGAGGCCTGGGCTATGGGTCGTTGGTGTCCTGGGTGAACAACTCACTGTCTGTCCTTCTCCCCATCATCATGTCCCCTGTAGTCTGTGCTCCAGGTAAACAGCGTCCCTGGGTGTCAGCCGCAGCTTGGTAAGCCTGGCCATCTCTGGCTGTGAAGAGATGTTGCCCTTGGCTCAAGGAGAGGCTGGGAAATTCCAGGGTAAGGACCTGCTGCAGGCAGCACCAGGGAGAGAAAGCCAGTGAAGCCAGGAGCTGCTCCCCCCTTAGCCAGCCCTGCCCACTGCTACTGCGGCTCATGCCCCGGCATGGCCTGGGAACCTAGCCCCCAGGACAGTGACTTTGTGTAGAGCTTACACCCTTCATTTCGTCATTCTCCCTACCTGCCCGTGCCCCTCAAAGAGCAAAATATCTGTTCACATGCAACAAGAGCACCTGCTCCTCCTCAGGCCTTTGTTTAGGGTTTGCAGAAATGGCAGAGAGGAGGCGGCCCTCAGGCGCACAAGCGAGTAGAACATTGGGGAAGCTGGGGGCCCAGCAGGAAGTGCACTGCCTTCTCCCCTCCAAGGGGAATATCCTGGCTGCCCCCCAGAAAACCTGCCATAAAGAGTAACCCTACTAAGCTGGCCTGCATGGCTGAAGCTGTCTACACGAGCGTCGGTCCCTCTCTGTGCATTGGCAGGGGCTTGTCTCTGAGAGACCACGAGGCTGCCTGCGCCTCGGCTGGTCTGTGCTCTCTTCCCCTCTGTCTCTTCTCTGATGGGCCCATTGGAGGTCCCAGGATTTGCACTGCCCCAAGAGTGCTGGCTGGCCATGCAGGGACAGGGCATTCCTGGGAGGAGTGATCTGATCTCAGGGGGCTCACAGTGGACCTAATACATCCTTGGCTTATAATCCCAAGAGGAAAACTCTGGCTGTGAGGGTCCCTGTCGTTTCTGTAGGGTTTCGAGAGTTGTCAGGAGCTGCTGGGTTCAGGACTGATGCCAGGAACTAGGAATCAGGTCCCAGGACATCAGTTCCTGGCTCTGAGGAGAGGAGCAGGGATGCCTCAGTGGGTAATGAAACACCAACCTCAGTGTCATCTGTGGTAATTGGTCGCCTGATGGGTTTGGCAGCTGCTGGATCAGTGTCCCCGACCCACATCCATACCAATGTGCTGGCTAGGCTCCTAAAGGCCCAGCAGACGCATCTGCTCCTGGTGGGTTGTGGAGCAGGAATCTGATTCGCTCGTTAGCAGGCTGCTCACCGAAGGGGGAGAACGTAGCGAGACAGATGCTGAGCCGGGGCCCGAACTTGGTCATTAGTAGCTAATTGTGGTATGGTACAAACAGAAAGAAAGGAGCCACTGTGGACCCTGTCCCTGTCTCCGTTTCCCCTAGGCTTTTGGGGAGCTACCAGGACCCAAGCAGCCTCGCTATGTTCAGAGACTCAGGGGAGGGAGGACGGGAATCTCCAGGGAAGAAGGACCAGGGTTACGCTCATGGGTGGCTCCCCTCCCCCAGTACATGTTATTAACCAGGCAGCTGTCTTGTCTGTTTCAGTGCTGTTTTCATTCCCCACATTTTCTGCCCTGAGATGTCTGTTCCCACAGGAGTGGCTGACCTGGGAGGCTGTGGGCACTGCCTTTTGTTTTCATTGTTTTCACCTGTGATATTAACTGTTATTTTTTTCCCCTGTGCCAAGAGCACGCACCCTTTCCTCTGCACCCTGCCCTCCTTCTGCTCTCTGTGTGGTGGCTTCTGTTAACCCCTTCTTGGCTTTTGAGTTTTTTCCAGTTGCCTTGGTGGTTCGGTAACTTTGGTGTGTGGGGCCAGGCTGCCTCTGGGTCTCCACGCCTTCCGTCCTGGGCAGTGCTCTCCCGGGAAGCTCAGTCCCATCTCACCAACTCTTGGTTCTGCTTTCTGTTGACTGCCATTTGGCCACGTCCCAACACTGAGCATGCCCAGAGAACTCTGCCTGGAGTGTAGGGCCGGGCCGAGGGCTTGCCGGCTTCTTGGTTCCCCCAGCCTCTGCCAACCTGCTCGTGCCCTCTGAGTGTGAGAGCTTGTCACTAGGCCCTCCACTCTGAGCCTCGTCTATTCTGATTTAAATGCCACTCAGCAGTAGGTTTTATTTTTGGCTTCTTCCGTGGATCTTTGCCCCCTCATCTCCTTCACCCTCTGCACTTCCTGAAATGAACTCAGTCCAGAACAGTGGGGGTCACTAGCAGAGTCAGGAGTTGCCTTTAGGGAACGAAATGTATCCTTTCCTTCATCTTTGCAGGGTCTCCGGTGGTCCTGGGGAAGGGCCTGCTGGGGGAGATGGTTCCGGGGGCATGCTCACTGTTGGGGGCCGGGTCTGGGGCCTGGGGGGCAGGTGGAGGGCCGCTGCTGTTTTCTCTCACTCATTTCCTAGGTCTTCTTATCTCCTCTCTGTGTGGCTCTGGTGACAGGGACGATCCGTAAGGCTCAGAATCTTCTGAAACAGTATTCCCAGCATGGTCTAGATGGGAAAAAGGGGGGCTCTAACCTCATTCCTCTGGAAGGTAATCACCCTGTGTTCCTCTCCTGCTCCCTCCTCCTCCACCGTGTGTCCACTCACGTGGCAGGGCAGAGCCTCCACCCCAGGAGGGCCGCTGGGGAAACCCTGAGTGGGAGCAGGGGTGGGAACTGCAGTCCCTGGTGCCACCAGCGCCAGCTGGCGCAGGGACAGGTTGTGTGGCCCTCGGCCTGTCCTGTCTGGCTGACGGCAGCTCTGCCCTCCCTGAGGCTTCCCACCCCTCCCCCTACCTGTCTCTGTCCTTGTCTCCTGTTTGAACTCAGAGAAAGTTCTTTGTGGTGGACAGCCCTTTCACGCTCAGACCAGCAGTGGCAGGACCAAGCCAGCGTAGGCCTCCTGACCACTCGCCTCCACCCCCAACTTTAGAAATGGGAGTATGGGCCACAGGGGGACAGGCAGCCTGTAGGCCATGTCCCTACCTCCTGTCAGAGGAAGGACAGCCGTGCCCTGGTGGACCTGACCCTCCTTCTAAAGAATGATGCTGGGGGACAAAAAAAAGGGCCATCCCATTCACTCAGCAGTGACATTTCTCTAACTGAGTCTCTCCCCAAATATGGTGATCTGAGTAAACCTGCTGGGCCTAGCATCAGATTCTCCGCAGCTGCTGGAAGCTCTTCAGAGGCCTCCTTGGTCCTCCTGCAGCTTTCTCTTGGCCTCCAGGCTTGGGGAAACCACCTCCCAAGGAAGGTCGGGGGCACTGCATGTCAGGCTTGAAACGGCTGTTCCCAAGGTGGTCTGAGGCAGAGGAGGGGCTCAGAGCCCTCCCCAGTCAATGCCCCTGCCCTACACCCCATCTCACACACCCCCTCCTGGAGATCGAGGGCTTCTTCCCAGTCCCCTGAGGGGCAGCCCACCCGGCCCCTGGATAAACGCTGCTTGTGTTTGTGCGGCCGACGTCTCGCTAGGTCACGAGCATGATTACCGAGTTAAGCACCTGTCCGAGGCCCTGAACGACAAGCACGGGCCACTGGCTGGTGAGTACCGAAGCCCAGCCCGAGGGCAGCCGCCGCTGCCTTCCCAGCGGTCCTCAGATGGCCTGCTCTGGGCCGCTCTGCTCTGAGGACAGGCCAGGCCTACCTGCCTCTCTCTTTCTCCAGTCTCTCTCTTTTGGGCACTAGGTCTCCTTGCCTCTCTCCAGATGGGAGTGCACGCCTGGCTCTCAGGGGCTGGGCCAAGGGGAGAAGGCAGCAGGCAGAGAGGGAAGGCAGCTCCCTGGAGGGCAGGAAGCCCCAACACCTGACTTCAGCAACAGCTCCAAGGCTCTGAGTCTCAGAGCCCACCCCTTGGCACATAGGACCAGTTTGCCTCGAGGCACCCCGGCCCCAGCCTCCAGTAGTGGGATCCGGTCTCCTCCAGGGCAGCTCACTACTGAGGAGCCCTCCCTGTCTCAGGCTCACATTGCCTCTTCCCAAATTTTAACCCCATGCCAGCTAGCCTTGCCCACAACCTTATTCATTCCAGAAGTCCTGGCTGGGCTGGTAACTGCCTTTAGAGTTCCAGCATTTTCTCAAGTGGATGACCACGATGCTTGCCTCCTTGAGGTGGGCAGTGCCGCCTGCCCATCTGTGGTTGCCCTCTTTCCAGGACAATTCAGAATCCTCAGTCCTGGGGTCAGACATACCCTATCCAGGAAGTCAGTTTAGGCATCGTCCTTCCTTATCCTTTTATCCTTCTCCCCCCACCTCTAGTATCATAAATACTGTCCATGGCAGAGCTGAACATGAAGCCAGGACAAAGGCTGGACTCAACCCCTGTTTTTCCCCTCAAACCCGGTGAGGCCTGCTGGAGCCCTCTCAACTTTCTGCCAGAACACTCCTCCTCCTCCTCCCCATCTGCTACCGGTCTGGGCCATAGGCCAGGAGCTGGGGAGACCCATGCCCCCCACCAGGGAGGTTGGCTGCCTCCAGACCAGCAGTTCAGGGGCACTGCTGTCCCCCCAGGGAGAGATGACATGCTCGACGTGGAGACCGATGCCTACATTCACTGCGTCAGTGCCTTCGTCAAGCTGGCCCAGAGCGAGTATCAGCTGCTGACGGACGTCATCCCTGAGCACCATCAGAAAAAGACTTTTGACTCCCTGATACAGGTCCTGCCCCTTGGCCCTGACCAGATGCCTCAGCAAGAGCTGCCCTTGCAGAACCTTGAGTTTGGGCCAGGCCTGTTGTCCGTAGCCCTCAACTACCGCCACCTTCTCCACCTTGCACCCTGGGAATCTGTCCTGGGTGCTGTGTCCTGGTCGGCACCTCTCCTTGGCCCTCTCCCTGCCACAGCATGCTGGCTTCCCCCACTCCCCTGCAGGTGCCCTCGCTGTCCCTGGAAAGCAGCTCTCACACTCCACCCCCTTCCTGAGCTGGCTCCTTGCCCCGCTCTCAGGATGCGCTGGATGGGCTGATGCTTGAGGGGGAGAACATCGTGTCCGCCGCCCGGAAGGCCATCGTTCGACATGACTTCTCTGCGGTGCTCACTGTCTTCCCCATCCTGCGGCATCTCAAGCAGACCAAGCCTGAGTTTGACCAGGTGCTCCAGGTATGTGGGTGGGGAAGCCCTTAGGGACACGGGGAGGAGGAATCCTGCTGCCTGGTGTGGCCTCCCCAAGAGAACCCTGTCCTCTGCCCCGACACCTCTGCTCAGAGGGTGAGTGAAGAAGAGTCGGTCCCCTGAGGTGAGGGGCAGGGAAGGAGCTGGGCTCCGCGCACGCCTGCAGCTGAGGGCAGTGGCTGGGGCTCTGGCCCACTGTGCAGCCATGTGCTCCCTGCAGGGCACGGCCGCCAGCACCAAGAACAAGCTGCCCAGCCTCATCACTTCCATGGAGACCGTTGGAGCCAAAGCGCTGGAGGACTTCGCTGACAACATCAAGGTGCTCTCCCTCCCTGCACTGTCACCAGTCGCCCCACAGGGCTGTGAGCAAGGCCACCAGAGACCTGGCTCGGGACTTCCTTCAGAGAGCAGGCCTCCAGGAGAGGCGGCGGGCTGGAAGTTGGCCGTGCTGCTAGTCTCCCGTCACTTCCCACTTGCCTCCATTTCTTTCTCAGGGCTCCACAGCCCCCCAGGCTTGAAGCTCCTGCCCCACTTTTCCTGTCCTGTGTTGCTCACTTTTGTGCCTGAGGGGCGTCCTGACACCTGCCTGCCAGGAAGTGGCGCCATGAGCAGGGCAACCTTGGGGGGGCGGTGCCCAGGCCTCCTTGGGAGCTGTTTTAGGGAATCTGGCTCTTTTCTCCACAGAATGACCCAGACAAGGAATACAACATGCCCAAGGATGGCACTGTACACGAACTCACAAGCAATGTAGGTGCCGCCTAGGGTTCTCTGGGGAGGGCCGGGGAGGGCCAGGGAGGGGACCCAGCCTGGCCCAGAGCTGCCAGTGCCTTTGTGAACGGTGCACTCATGGCATGATGGACAGTGAAGTGCTTAGCGTCTGCAGCAGACAGGGCCTTTCTGGCAGGGCAAACACAGAGCGTGAAATCTGAAGTTTGCAGCTACCCTTTTCGCTGGGCAGGCCCCTGGCTCTGCACTTGCCCCAGAAGGGTCAGAAGGGGTGCATCGTGTGAGGCGATCAACCTTTGGGTCCTGCCCTTGACCTTCTTCCTAGACCCATTTTCTCTCCACGCAGGCCATCCTCTTCCTGCAGCAGCTCCTGGACTTCCAGGAGACGGCGGGCGCCATGCTGGCCTCCCAAGGTACTCGGCATCTCCAAGCGGGGCCCCCTGCCCCCTGCCCCCTGCCCCCTGCCCCACTCCTCCCTCTTGCCTGGAGACATGGGGTTAGGCCCCCAGGGGGCACTGGCCACCCCTGGGTGAGATTTCCTCTAGCTCTGTGGAGTGGGACAGAGAGGTGGCTTTTGGTGGGACCCCCAAGCTGGTTGGGCTGAGCATCAGGAAAGCAGGGTTTGACCATGCCTTTTCCTGACCTAACCTCCATCCCCTCTGGCTCCTTCGACCCACCGGCCTCACTCTGGAGAGCACTGGCTTGTTGAAGGTGCCCCTCCCGCCCTCCTTCCACATTTCTCTACCTCCTCTTGTGTCCGCCTGTCCTAATTAGTCTCACACAGCTGACCCTTTTGGTGGGCTGGCATCTCAGCACCAGCCTGGTGTCTTCCTGCTGTGTGCTGCTCTGGGACTGGAGCTCAGGAGGTTGGCATGTGAGGAGGAGGGCATTTCCGAGCACTGAGGCCCAGGCTGGCTTGTTGGGGTCCCCAGGCCCTCCTTCCATCCGTTATTTTGGGGGCAGGGAGCCAAGGGGCAGCCCCTGGCCTGCAGTTCTCCAGATCTCCACTTTCCTGTGTGTCCCCTGGTCTTCAGTGGGTCCAGCCCGGTGTGTCCTGCTGTCTGTGTTCTTTTGTCGTGGGGAGTGGTCTGCTTGACTCGGGATGACTCAGCCGTTTCTAACCTGTTTTTGCACTTTGCATCTTTCTCCTTTCTTTGTCTCTCCCTCCCTCCCCTCTGTGCGCACTGCTTTTCACTCCGTAGTTCTTGGGGACACATACAATATTCCTTTAGACCCCCGAGGTAAGCAGAGGGCTCTGCAGCCCCATCCTCCCCCTCTGAAGCCCCGTGGGTGAGGTTCCCTGGGAACAGAGGCACCTGGACAGGCTCAGGACCTATTGGAGAGCAGGGGTCAGAAGCGACATGGGTTCCTTCAGGGTGCTCCCAACTCTCTCAGCTCCCTGCACAGCCACTTTCTGTCTCTGAGCTTATCCAGGGAGCACCCTGCTGTGCCCAGCACCCTGAGCCCACCCTCCAGGCTGCCCCAGCACCTGCCGGACTCCTCCCTCTTCCATCCACTTCCCTCCCCTCTTGCCCTTCTGCTCTGTGTAGGCAGCAGTCCCCTCTGTTCAGAAGGGCCTGGTAGAGGAGGTGGTGGGCAATGGGGGAGAAGGAGAGAGGCCTGGGGAGCCCATTCTAAGCCACTCCTGCTGACAAGTGGGGTAGGTGGGCCTTGTGAATATCACCCAGCATGGATCAGAGGGCAGGAGGTGTCCCATTCCTGTCCTGCCAGCCTTCCTGCTAATCATGGGCCAGCTCATTAAGCACACCACTCATCAGCATAGAGGGGCTTGCCCTGGGTTCCAGAAAGAGTCCAAGGGAGTGCTCCCTGCAGCGGGCAGGGAGCCCGGTCACTCAGCAGACACCCAGCTCTGCCCTGAGCGCCTCTGCGTCCCTTCTGCCAGAGGAAGGCTCAGGTCCCTCCCAGGGTTTCCTCAGTTGCTCGTTGGGCTGAGAGAAGGCCAGAGAGGGTCTTGGCTGCCGCCACCACTGCAATAACGTGAATCCTCCTCTCACAGAGACCAGTTCTTCAGCCACCAGCTACAGCTCCGAGTTCAGCAAGCGCCTCCTGAGCACCTATATCTGTGAGTGCTCTCTAGACAGCCGACAGCCACGGGTGCCCCCGTCCCCTGCCTTCTCCCTTCCCTCTCCTTTTTGTGCTCTTCTGCTATTCCAGCCCCCCGACCTCTAGAATTGCAACCTAACCTCTGGTTCAGGGGCCAAAGGGGGCTGGGCAGAGGGCTCCTGAGGCTTGTGGAGCACGGACTTGCAGGGGGACAAGGAGCGAGGGGCAGGAGTTGGTTTGTGGGCCCTGGGATTGAGCCATTTTGGTCAGACTGCCATGGTGGGCATGACCACATCCTTCCCTGTGCAGGTAAAGTCCTGGGCAACTTGCAGTTGAACTTGCTGAGCAAGTCCAAGGTTTATGAGGACCCTGCTCTGAGCGCCATCTTCCTGCACAACAACTACAATTACATCCTCAAGGCCTTGGAGAAGTAAGTGGCCTCAGGTGCTGGTCTGTGGCTCTCAGCTGTCCTCCCAGGGCTGGCTGTGCCCTCTGCATGTCCAGGTGGGGAGGGCAGTGCTCTGCCCTTTGCAGTCCCAGGATCCAGGGAGGTGTGAGGCAGGCCCTACTGGTGTTGCTGCATAGCCCGGCAGCCCTGGTGCCCTGAGAGCCAATTCTATTCTCTACTCTCTCCCCTACCTGACCCAGGTCTGAGCTGATCCAGCTGGTGGCTGTGACCCAGAAGACTGCGGAGCGCTCCTACCGGGAGCACATCGAGCACCAGATCCAGACCTACCAGCGCAGGTGAGACTCTGGCCCCTTCCCGCTCCCCGCCCCTGTCCCACCTCTCACTTTTTCTTCTCAGAGCCACAGGACCCTGGGCCCAGTCGGAGTAGGCTCAGTAATGGGGAACTGCTCCCCTGTGAACCACTTGTTTTTAATCACATTCATGGAGTGGAGACGAAAGCCCCCTCCCTTACTACTGCCTCGGGGGCCGCTGTGCCAGCCTCTTCAGAGCATAGTCTGCCAAGGGTGAATGCTAAGAATAGCTGAAGAGCTGGCTGTCAAAGATGTGGCTGAAGTTTAGCCTCAGCAAGAGCACGTGAACTTGGCTGAGCCTCACTCGGCAGTGCTCTCGGCTTCTCTAGTCCTCCTTTCTCTTGGGTTTCTGTGTGTCTCTCTCCCTTTGTGTGTATCCTCCCCATGAGCGGTCTCCCTCTTCCTTCCCATTTATCTGCCCTCCACATCTGCTTCTCCGTCTTAATTTGCTGTGAAATCGACGTGAAGTGTAGTTGATAGTATTTGTTCAATTTATTGACTGCTCTGTTTCCTGTTCTTGATTTTAAAAGCAAGCAGCTTGAACATTTTCTATTCCCAAGGAAAAATCTCAGCTGTCTTTTGCTTAGTTGTGACCCAGATCAATTCCTGCCCTCCCCACCCCCACAGTAGCTAAAGAGATTTTAAAAAAACAAAACAAACCAGCCCCAGGGAAGAAGCAGCTACCTGAGGCTGTCCCTCCTCTTGCCCTCCGCTTCTCTCTCACCTGGCAGTTGGTTAAAGGTGACTGACTACATCGCTGAGAAGAATCTACCTGTATTCCAACCGGGAGTCAAGGTGGGCTGAAGGCCTGGGCTGGGAAGGGGTGTCTAGCAGGTATGGTACTTTCTGTAATGTCTGGGGAAAAATAGACAAGCCACCGGCTGGGATGAGAGAGCAAAGGATGCCTGTGGCCATCAGGGCAGCAGGAGGGAGGGCTGGCCTGAGGGGTTTGGGAAAGGAGCGGGGCAGGGCGGTTCTGCTCTGAGGAACGCTCTTGCTGCCCTCTCTCCCGGCCCCCAGCTCCGAGACAAGGAGCGGCAGATGATCAAGGAACGTTTTAAGGTGAGTCGGGATCCTCTCCCCTCCACTGCTTGCTGCCGCTGTTGTGACCACACAGACCCAAAGCATTTGTCTCTGGGTCACTTCTTTTTCCACCTTTTTGGTGGTCAGGGCTTCAATGATGGCCTTGAAGAATTGTGCAAGATCCAGAAGGCTTGGGCCATTCCCGACACAGAGCAGAGGGACAAGATTCGCCAAGCTCAGAAAAACATTGTCAAGGAGACCTACGGGGCCTTTCTGCACAGGTGAGCCCCTATCTCTGCCTTCCCGCCCCGAGGTCCCCACACCCCCAGCTGGGCCTCTGCGCCCTTCTCTTCTTCAGGAAAACACGGAGACGGGGTGGGTTGGGTGGCAGATCCAGTGCCCGGGGCTTTGGTGTGAGGCCAGACAGGATCATCACTCAGGGGCACCCTATCAGAAGGGCCTTAGCCTGAGGCAGAGCTGGGGAGAGGCTAGGCCTTCCCCCGACCTCAGTGTCTGGTCAGGTATGGCAGCGTGCCCTTCACCAAGAACCCGGAGAAGTACATCAAGTACCGTGTGGAGCAGGTGGGCGACATGATTGAGCGCCTCTTTGATACCTCCGCCTGAGCCTGCTGATGCCCCTGCCTGGTTTCACCAGATCAGCCACGTTATTGGACAAATAAACCAGTGTTAACTTGTGTCTGGGCTGGGTGAGTTTGACATCCTTTGGGACAGGGACCTTACTCCACTGCCCCAGCCAGTAGCCCTGTCACAGCCCTTAAGTCCCAGTTTGCGCTTCTTCCCACAGCCCACATTCGGCACCAAACCAGCACCCTCTTAGAATGCTGGGATTCCTTCACACCTTGGGTTTGTGACCTTGACCACAGTGTCCAGGAGCCAGCTGAAGGCTTCCAGACAGGGAAGGACAGAGAAGGAGGACAAAGGCCTATGCCCACAGCTGCCTTGTGTGTACAAGAGCAGGAAGCGGAACAATCCCAGTTCAGAGCTAGGGATGGAGGACTCCCCCTTCAGCCCAGACGCGTGGCTCGGGTCAGGGGAGCAGGCCACAGCGCAGCCAGAGGGCCTGGAGAAAAAGCAAGCCGGACTGACCCACTCTCTTGGATTTAGTGCAGCAGATGCATCCCCGTCGCCCACAGTCCTGAGGTCTAGGGATGCGCCTTCTCCCTACCTAGTGGCCCCCAGGTGGCTAGAGCAGGAGTGCTTTGTCCATGCCCTCTGGCGTCCAGCACACTGAGGAAGGAAGTCTGACCACATCTGTGGCTTCTCAGACCCCTGTCTCTGGTCCCCAGTGCCTCCTGGCCCAGGGCCACGCAGCAGCAGTGGTCGCAGAAGGAGCAGTTAGGTGGTGGGCAGGGGGAGTGCTGGGTGACTGGTGGACAATGGAGAGTTCAGGAATGGAGTGGGAGTCAGGCACATGGTGGGGCCCCACCTACTTGGACAAGGGTGAACAGCTGAGCTCAATGAAGACAGACCCTTAAGGTGCACTTGCTCTTGGGCAATGGGTTTATTTCACACTCTTTGCTTGTATGCTAACGGAAGGGAGAGCTCATGGTGGCCTGAGGTCCTCCAGGATTAGGGAAGAGAGTCGACCTCCCCCTCCTTCTCTCCAGAGACCCTGTCATGGCCCTCCCCCGGGCCTGCAGCCCTGGGCCCGGCCCTGTTACAGCCTGGGCTTCCCGCCGTGAGGTGCAGACTCGCCAGGGGGTGGAGCAGACTTGCATGGCACCCATATCCAGAGTCCAGCGAAGATGAACTGGCTACATACCACCCCCGCTACATAGACCAGGAAGAAGATGTGGTCAGCAGCCTCAGTCCGGCTCCTTCTTGACCCCTTTACTCCTCTGGAGGCTTCTGTGTGGGGAGATGCAGGAAAAGGAGCTGTACTTCGGGGCTCACCCAACACTCTCCCAGAGCAGAAGGTGAAGCCCAGGGGGTGTCAGCCTGTATTTTTCTCTCTTCTTTCTATTCACAACTAATGAATATTGGGGTCCGGCCCATTCTCAGCCGTCTCCAGTTAAAGAAACACCTTCGTAGAGAAGCTCTGCAAAGCATAGGGTTATTGCTGGGAATTGGTAGTCACTCAAGTCTTTAGGGAAGCTGACCTTGCTCCCTGCTCCAGACCTGCTTCCAAGGGCAGACATGGAGGAGCCCAGGAACAACAGAGCCAGCGGAGTAAATACAAGGAGCCTCTAAACAGCCTAGTGACCCCTGACCCCCAGCCCCAGCCCTAGGTGTGCAGCCTGCCAGCTCTGCCCCTGTCAAATGCGCTCCCAGCCTCATTCCTTGCTCACAAACCTCCCAGGAAGGGGCTCCAGCTTCTGCCCACCTTCAGGATTAGGCACTGGGTTCCCATGATCTCGCTGCTCCCCTCTTGGGCCTGGGCTGGGGCTGCTCTTGGCCCTGATGTCCCCCCGGGCCAGCAGCGCGGCTACCAGCACAGTCTCCACGGTGCTAATGAAGAGCAGCAGCAGCAGGACGGTGAAGTAGTAAACTGGAGATGGGAGGGTGGGGGGCAAGGTCAGGGGCCAGGCTTGTGCCTCGAGTGCCCAGGGAGCTGAGCAGAGGCACCCTGGCTCAGGTGACAGCAGGTGTGGACAAACGAGGCAGGCCAGGCGCAGGGTGGTCCTGCCGAGGGCCAGAGAGGTACAGGGCTTACTGAGCAGTGGGTTGCAGGAGGAGGAGCTGGGCAGGGTCTGCACCAGAGAGGAGTGGAAGACGAAGTAGCCCAGCAGCAGCGTCACTTTGTAGGCAATGCGGTCGGTGACCCGGAGGGGCAGCAGCCCCCCGCACATGTCAGCCAACAGCAGCGCCTCCCCAGGTACCAGCAGAGCTATGATGGCCTTTAGGGCTGTGTTCTGCAGGCGCAACTAGAAGGAAGAAAGTTGAGGGGATGTGCAGGGGGTGGGCAGTAGAAAGGTGATGTCATGGCCTCTAGCTAAGCATCCTCAACGCCCTCATCAGCCCTGTGTCAGCCACCTCCCAACTCACCGTCACCTGGAAGCAGGGCACCAGCTGCTTGGGTGGGACTTGAGTTTTCAAATCCTTGACTACGTATTCCCTCTTGATACTGACAATCTCATTCACCACGTGGGCCCGGAACTTCAGCTCCTTCACTGGAAGGGGCAGGGGTGAGAACAGTGAAATACGAAAGCGAGACCCCTGCCCCTAAATCTCTCTCAGGAGTAAGGGTAGGGAGAAGCTGGAGACCAGGGATGATGGAGACTTCTGATGGCTACTGAGGGGCAGACTTGGAGGCGAAACTTGTTCTTATAAGGGCTTTCCACACCTTATTTTGCAATACCCCAGTTTTCTCCAGTTAGAGGAAGGGCCTTGTCAGATGCATAGATGAATTTTCATCGTAAGAATAAATGCGCTTTGCACCACTTCATGGGGGGTGGGGGATGGTGGTCACAGACTCATCCACCAGTATGTCTCTCACCTGAAATATTAGCATTTGTAGGGCGGCAGCTCTGGTATTTCCCAGAGGGAAGGGAGGCAGGAAAGGGTGGGACTTCTCTGCCAAGTTGGACATCACCTGATGGGTCTGTGGGACATTTCCTGGGTGGCTACACCTTTAGGATGTTTCCAGGAATGAGGCTGCAGCAACCTGACTGTCTGCACTTGACCCCAGAGGCCCAACCACTGCAGTTTGGCACTGGCTGTTGAGGGCCATTGCTCTGGGGTAGCTGAGGGGGAGGAGAGGAGACTGAAGTGGGGCTACAGCCGAGAGCAGGGGGAACTAGGAATGAGGCTGCCATCTGAGCGGGAGGTGTGGGCTGAGAAGCATGTTCTGGCCCAGGATCTCTTCAGCTCCCCTAAGCCTGGGGGTAGGCTGGGGTGAACCCGGTCCGCTACTCCCGTGTCAGACATTTGCTGGAGGCCAGAGGCTTCCCCTCCCTTCTACCCTCACGCCCCGGCTCTGGTCCCAACAGCACCAGTGTTGCTGAAAGCATAGAAGCTGAGGCTGCAGTCGCTCTGGTCCCTGGGAAAGCGGAGGAGGTCAAAGTCGCAGGTGGTCTCCGTGGTGAGGGCCAGGTAGAGCTCAACATGGCCGTCCTGGTCCACTCGGGCCCTCGGGCTCTGCCCCTGCCAGTCCACCCAGAGCCTACAGGGATCAGGGGAAAGAAAGGCACCACAACCAGAGGCCCAGCTCCTAAAGAGTAGGGGGAGACCTCGGCATATGCTCACCTGCCATTTGGGTTTCAGGAGGGGAAAGCGGGGCAGTGGAGGTGCACCAGTGGTCTGGTAGGCCACCAGGAGGAGGATACTCGCTAAGAGGATTTGGGAGCTCTAGGTTAGCAAGAGAGAGGGATATGCTGTGGTGGGTTCCTGGAACAAGAACTCCTGCCTCACTTACGCCTCCTGGATAGTGAGTCCCGGTGTCCAGAGTGAGTCCAAGGACAGCGTGACCGCGTGCTGCGGGTGCTCACTCACGTTCCAGGCCAGGCGAGGGTCCAGCCAGAACTGGGAACAGAAATGCCGCTAAGACTCCCATTCTCCACATACCCATGCCCCTTGGTTTGGCAGGTTGATGAAGGCTGGTACTTCTGAGGTGGGCTCAGAGCCGGTTCTCCAGTCCCACCTCCCCACTCCCACTCCACCCTGGTAGGTGCTCCCCACTCACCAGCCGAAGCAGCAGCTTGGAGGACACTGTGTACCGCAAGATGTCCTGGGGGGAGGGGGACAGCATGTCACCTTGCAGGTGGGCGCTACACTACAGAAGGCAGGAGATCCCAGCACTTGCTGGGGCTGAGTCCTGTCCCATCCCAGCTCAGTGCTTGGGCCCCACGCCCTCCTGCGGCCTGACAACACTTACCACATTAAACACGGTTGATACAAACACCCGTACGTCCACAAGCAGGGGTGCGCTCCCGTTGTTTGGAATCTGTGTGCTTTCCTGAACCTCCTCCCGCAAGTTGAAGTCGACAAAGGATGGCAAGGCTGAGGGATGGAGGTCGAGGTCACTGGGTGCCCTGGGACCCAAATCCAAAGCTCATGACCTTACATTGTCCACCTACCAACTGATGGCACGCTGTGCCCCTGGGCTAAGTGCCGGGTGGTGCTGAGCCTGAGCAAGGAGAGGTGGAGCAGGAGCCACAGAGCCATCATCAGTGACTGCATGGAAGGGCTGGATGGAGCTGCAGCAGCTAAGCTGCAGCCTCTTATTTCAGTCACTTCTTTGGGGTGCTGGGCTGTTGGTTGGAGGCACCTGCTTTGTGCAAGGACCCTGGAGCCTTAGACTTGGCACTGCCACCCCGGTTCCGCAAACACCCAAAGACAAAGCCCGGAACCCAGCCCCTCCCACCCTGCACCTGCCCAGGCTTCCGTGTCCCGCTCCATTTCCACCACCTGGAAGGGGTTGCTGCTTTCAGGGCCCACCAAGTGGACCAGGCAAGCATGGACACACCTTTCTCTGACTCAGTCCCTCCAATCCAAAAAGATGCCGCAGGCCACCTCTGCGTTTCCCCTTAGCGGGGACTGCCTGGCTAAATACCCAAACCCTTGCCAAAGTGCCCTACGCTCGATGCCATGAGATGGGCACACCCTTGAGGGTTTTCCTGCCTCTCCTTAAACGCTGAACGGATTTCATGTAAAAAACCTTGGCTCAAGACCTCCAGGAGTGGGGCAAACCAGGAGAAAGGTAGAGGCTAGCTCAAGAGCAAAGCTTTGGGGCTTCCTCTTTCCTTATGGGATTCTCAGCCTGCCCTAGACCAGCAGTGCCTTCGAAGGGCTGCTGTGTGCCCTGGAGCAGGACCCAGGGGGTGGGGAGCGACTTTCCTGGCTCTGAGGAGAAACCAAGCCATTGGAGACCTGATCCGGGACAGCTGCAGGGAGGGAAGGAAACCTTAAGGCTGAAAATGGGTAGGCGCTAATGGGGCTCCCAGACTCGAAAGGACTCCAGGGAGCTGGGAGCAGTCGAGGACCCGCCGCACTCCGGCGCATGAACCCTGCTAGGACACACATAGTGTCTGTGTCTGTCATCGACCTGCTTTATCGAGCACGCTTAAACACTCTGCCTGCCTTTGTCGCACGTATTAGTGGCTGCTGGTTCGCTGATCTGTATACTCGTGGTGCCTCCAGATGGCCACGTGCAAAGAGCCTTCAGCTGTCCCGCGCTCCCCAGCTTCAGTTAGGGATTTCTACGCGAATTTTACCTCGGCCGCCTTGGGTGCGATCTACACTCCCCTTGTAGCTCAGCAAAGCACTCTACGCCCTTTTATCCAGAGTGCGCCTGTGAAGTCCCAGGGGCTTCTTAACCACAGAGCCCCATGACTATGAGAGAGGCGGAGACACAGCGCGTCACTGCATGTGAAATCGTTTGCAAGTTTTATTAACAGATGAAACTCCTCCACAGTCCCCTGACCTCCAACTCCAATCCTTTAACACTCAAGCGTACCCCCTAAGTGCCCTCGGGTCACACTAACTGTCAGAAAGCCGTTAGGGGCCTTTTGGTCTCGCCAGGACGGGCCAGGGACCGGGCTCGAGGCTGGGCCACTGAGAGGCGCCGGCGCAGGGGCAGAGGGCCAGGCCGCCTCGCCCACGTGCGTCAGGTCTGTGGACTCGCGTTCCAGCACGCTGCCGCTGTGGGTGCCCTGCACCGCGACGCCCACGCGGCCCGAGGCTTTGCGCGGAGCACGGCGCAACAGGCCGGCGCAGATCTTGCGAAAGCCCTTGCGGAAGTGCTTGGAGACGAGCGCGTAGACAATGGGGTTGACGCATGAGTTGGCGTAGGAGACCAGGTGCGAGAGGATGCGCAGCGCGTAGGTGGCGCGCGTAAGTGGGAAGCGGCCGAACCACACACAGAGGATAAGCGCGTGGTGAGGCATCCAACAGAGGCAGAAGAGTGCGGCTACGATGACGATCATGCGCGTTACCTTGCGCTTGGCACGCCGGGCGCCTGAGCCGGCGACCACCGGATCGACGGTGCGCCAGAGGTAGCGCAGGGTGCGCACGTAGGTCAGGCCGAGCACCAGCATGGGCAGCAGGTAGCTGAAGACAAAGGTGCAGAGGTCCATGGCGCGGCGGCGAGGCGCGCTCCATGCCGGATGGCACACGGTCAGGTTGGCCAACCGCGATTGGCGGTAGTAACTCAGGTAGGGCCCAGAGAAGAGCAGCGACAGCCCCCAGATGAGACCGATGGCCGCTAGCGCGTTGCGAGGTGTGCGCAGCTCGCGGGAGTGCAACGGATAGCGGATAGCCAGATACCTGCGGGTCAGGCCAGGAAGGGAGACGTCGGGTGAGCGTGTGGATTCGCGGGGGCAGGGGTGGACCCGTGCACCTTGAGCCCCATATCCGCTTCTCAAGGAAAGTCCCTAACACACGGTCACACCGCACATTCCCAGAGGGCAACCCAGCGCATCCCGGACACTCAGCCGCATCTAGATGTGAGGCGGGACCCGGCCCCAGGAAAGGCGCGCGTATAGGCCACTCATCTGCTCTTCCTGGGACTACGACCACAGCCAGGCTCCATCCAGGAGGGCACCCCGCACGTTGAACCGGCTTTGGGGCTCCAGGAGGCTGTGATTACCCACAAGTGACGGTGCACGGAGAGGTAGGACCCAGGCGCCTTGAGGCTTTAGTAGACAGCCTGGAGACACGTCAGGCAAGGTGCTGCAAGGGAATTCCTTAGAGAAGCCGACGCTCTACGGGTCCCACCAGCGCTCTCAGAGCCGACATACTGCACTCTCAGAAGAACTGGGAGGTATATGGGGAATGCGGCCTCACCTCGCTGCTTGTCCAGGGGAGGTCGGGAGCACGCAAGGAAGGAGGAGACAGGGGAGATACCGGAGTCACACCCGGATTTCCTCTCCAGGAATCATCCAGGTGTCCTTCCAAGTTCCAGCTGGGAGCGGGGCAAGCGGGGGGGGGGGGGGGGGTGCGGGGGGGGGAGGGGGCGCCGCGGAGGAGGTGGACCTTCCAGCGTTCGCCTTTCCCTGCCCTTGACCCCGGGCCTGGAGGTGGGGTGCAGAGGTGGGTGGAAGCGAGCTAGAGACCTCGGACGTGCTCGCTTGGACTTTGCCATGGGCCCTCGCCTAGGACCCAAATTCCTCAGTCCGGACTGGAGTCGACTCAGCCCACCAAACTGTGGCTTCGAGGCGGGCAAAGTGGAGGCGCCTGAGTTTGACGCCAGGAGACAGACCTTTGGCTTCGTGCACATGATTACTGGATGGGCGACTCTCTGAGCAAGTCACTTAGGAACTCGATCTCGTCTGTAAATTGGGCACAGTAATCCCTCCCATCCCAACCTCAGGGGGCTTTGAGCTCAAGCGAGACCGAGCACGCGAAAACCCTTTGTACCGGGAAACGCTGCGCTTTGTCAGGCGCCAGCGGCGCTGGAGAGCTGAGGTCTCCAACCTGCAGCCCGGAGGATGCGCTTAACGGAGGACACCGCGGTCCCCCATTCTTATTCTTCCATCTCCTCCTCCACGCCTGCTTGTCTTTCACTCCCTCCCGGTCCCTTTGCCTTCTTAGTGTCTTTTTCTACTCTCTGCGCGTCCCTCCTTGACCCTCGAGTCCGCGCCCTTCTTCGGCCCCCACCCCGTACCCGAGCCCCTGGGTCTCCAGGGCACTCGCTCACCTGTCCAGGGAGACGGCGGCCAGCGTGAAGCTGCTGGCGTGCATGGTGAGGAAGATGAAGAAGTGCACAGCCTTGCAGAGCAGCGAGCCAAACACCCAGCCGTCCAGGGTGTAGATGGTGGCCTGGAAGGGCACGCAGCACACGATAAAACACAGGTCGGCCACGCCCAGATTGAGGATGAACAGGTTGGTGGTGCTGACCGCCTGGCCGCCGCGCAGCAGCACGGCCAGCACCAGTGCGTTGCCCACGGTGCCCACGAGGAAGATAGTCGCAAATAACATGGGCACGATGACCGCCTCGGGCTGCCAGCTGCCCCCGCCGCCAGCCTCGCTCGCTGCCTCGGCCCCCGGGTCACCCGAGGCATTCATGGTGTCGCCGAACACGAGGCTGCCCGGGATCCTGCAGCCGTCTGGGTGTTGGCGAGCGCGCAGCTCCCGCGGCGCTGCAGCGCCGAGCGCGACTCCGCGGAGCTGCGGGCAGAGTGAGCCTGGCGGCGGCTGGGGCGGGAGATGGGGGTGCCCTGGGGTCAGGGGGAGGAGCGAGCAGCCAGAGCAGTAGGATGGTCCCCCGCAGCAGCTGGCGGCGCCTGGGGAAGGGCTGTCGAGTGGCCCCGGCGTGGCTCCGCCGAGGCCCAGGCAGCCCACTCCGGGCGCGGAGGACGGTGCTCCTGCCTGCTCCCCGGCCCTCCGGTGTCGTCGGCGCGCTCCAGCCCCGGGGTGCGGTCTGGGCCGGGCTGAGGGGGGAAATGACCTCCCTGGCAGAGGCCAGAGTGGTGGAGGGACCGACTGCCGGGACCTGCGTGTGCGCCGCGCTGTCTGGAGCGCCCTCCCGGGACCCCGCGCTCCTAGACGCTTCTCTGCTGCGTGGCGGGCGCCCCAAACCTCCTGGGGCTGGCTGCGGGGCGTCCTCGAAAGAGTTTCAAGCGGCCGTTAAGGGGTGATGGTGGGGTTTACAAGGGGCAGAGGCGAATGGGGGGCTGTGTTTTCCAGAACTGGCGGGTGGGGGCAGCTCTGCTCTTGGTCCCGCCTCTTCCCATTCCTACTTCCCAGGAGCATCGCGCCTCACAGGAACCCTGGAGAGCAGCAATGAGGAGGATGGAAGGAGGTTCTGAGGGAATTTGGTTAGCTTCATCTCATTTCCTCTCGCCCCCACTGAAAGTTTCCCTCTCCAATTCAATCCAGTATTTATCGAGCATCCACTGTGTACCAGGCTATGTCTTTGGCACTGTGCCTCAGTTTCCTCAGCTGTAATGTAGGATAATAACACCTTCTCAGAGGGCTCTGGTGAGAATGGAGTGAGATGTCTGTGAGAGACCTGAAGCCAGTTGGTAGAATCTGAATGAATCAAATTCTTCTCTTTTGCCTTACCCTATTCAGATATCCAGAAAAGGAAAACTTTAAAGAAACACGAAGTAGCAGAGTTCCATGCATCCGCAGCATTTTCCTAGATGGCCAGGAAGGTGTTTACATTGCAATAAAACTTAAATATTTGTTCCTGATTTTGACATATTAGGCATCAAGCATTTGTGATCCAGAATTATTACTGTTTCTATAGAATTTAAGCTCCCGGTTCATCGGTTCATTAGGTCTGAAAATCACCACCTTCTGCCACTGTAGCTTGATCTCGGCTTCACCTTTCCCTGCCCTGTTCCTTGGGTTCCGGTCAAGAACTCCCCCCTACCACCCCCAGGATCTTGGCTTCAGGAGCCCAGCTCCCTACTTCTCTGGCTGGGGAAACCTCATTCACACCCCTGCCCCGCCTGCCCATTCATTGAATAGGAAGATAGTAGCAGTTCATGTTTATGAGATGCATGCCATGCATTTATTCAATAAGGATTTATTAAGCACTTACTCCTTGCCAGGCACTATTCTGGGTGCTTGGGATATACCGGTGAGCTCTACAAAGATCAAGGCCCTCCGTGAGCTTCCTTCCTAGCAGGGAAGACAGACAATAAACATAACACAAGTCAGTTATTAATCTGTTGCAAATTGATAAGTACTTGCAGGAAAAGTAGACCAGGGTCAGGAACTGGGCCCACCAGGGTGGTGGTCACGATGCAATTTGAAATAGGATAGTCAGGCAGACTTCATTAGGCAGGTGACATTGGAGCAAAGACTTGAAGGAGGAGAGGGAGCCAGCCTAGCAGATGTCTATGGGAAGAACATTCTATATAGAGGGAATAACCAGTGCAAAGGCCCTAATGAAGGAGTGTGCTTGTGCCCCTAAGCAGTGAGGGAGGCACGGCCTGAGCTGAATCAACAAGGAGACTGGCAGAACAAAAGGCGAGAGGCATAGCATGTATGGCTGTTTTCCATTGTAAGGACTGTGGCTTCTAGTCTGAGTAAAATGAGGAGCCATTGCAGAGTTTTCACTATAGGACTAACATGATCTGATCAACTTTTCTTTTTTAAAAAACTTTATTGAAATATTCACATGCAATTTACCCATTTAAAGTGTTCATTTAGGTTTTAGTATATTCACAGAGTTGTGCAAACATCACCACAATCAATTTTAGAAAATATTTGTTCCCCCCCAAAGAAACCCTTACCCTTTAGCCATCAGCCTCCAATCTCCACCCCTACTGCCAGCCCTAGGCAATCACTATTCTCTGTCTCTGTAGATTTACCTATTCTGGACATTTCATACAAATGGAATCATACAATATGTAGCCTTTTGTGTGGCTTCTTTCACTCAGCATAATATTTTCAAGATTCATCCACATTGTAGAATGTATCAGAACTTCACTGCTTTTTATGGTCAAGTAATAGTCCATTGTATGGTTATAAAGCATTCTAGTTATCCACTCATTTGTCGATGGACATTTGAGAGACTTACTTTTTTAAGATTTCTTTTTAATTGTGGTAAAATACGCATTTACCATGTTAAACATTTGTAAGTGTCCAGTTCAGTAGAGTGTGGAGTATATTCATATTGTTGTGCAACCAATCTCCAGAACTTTTTAATCTTGCAAAACTGAAACTCTGTACCCATTAAACAATATCTCCCCCTTTCCCCTGCCTCCAGCCACCGGCAACCACCACTCTACTTTCTATGAATTTGACCACACTAGATACCTCATATAAGAGGAATCATACAGTATCTGTCTTTTTGTGGCGGGTTTACTTAGTACGATATTCCCAAGCTTCATCCATGTTGTAGCATGTGTCAGAATTTCCTTCCTTTTTAAGGCTGAATAATAGTTCATTGTACAGATATACCACATTTCGTTTATCCCTGGAGGGCCACTGGGTTGCTTCCATTCGTTGGGTATTGTGAATAACACCGCTGTGAACATGGGTGTACAAATATCTCTTTAAGATCCTGCTTTCAATTCTTTTCGATATATACCCACAAGTAGAATTGCTGGATCATATGGTAATTCTTTGAATTTTCTGAAGAACCACCCTACTGTCTTCCACAGTAGCTGCACCATTGTACATTTGCACCAAAAGTGCACCACTATTCCAATTTCTCCACATCCACACCAATACGTTATTTTCTGTTATTATTATTCTTATTATTGTGAGGAAGATTGGCCCTGAGCTAACATCTGTTGCCAATCTTCCTCTTTTTTCTCCCCAAAGCCCCAGTACATAGTTGTATATCCTAGTTGTAAGTCATTCTAGTTCTGCTGTGTGGACACCACCACAGCACAGCTTGATGAGCAGTGCTAGGTCCGCGCCCAGGATCAAACCAGTGAACCCGGGGCCACCAAGGCCAGCACAAACTTAACCACTTGGCCACCGGGCTGGCCCCTCTGTTATTAAGTATTTTCAATATCTAATGGGTATGAGGTGATAGCTCACTGTGGTTTTGATTTTAACTTCCCTAATGATTAGTGCACAGATTTACTTTAAAATGCATCATTTCAGTTAGTCTTCATAACCGTCTTAATTGGTTATCCTCATTCACAGATGAGGGAAAACGTTTAGAGGGAGATTATTTACCGAACATCTCCCCATCAGCAATGGCGGAGACAAGATTGGAGCTGCAGGACTCAAGACTCCAGAACCCGCAGTGCCGTATTGCAGAGCAAAGATTCATAGTCTCCCTTGTCTCAACACTTCTCCCTCCTCGGACTGCTCGCCCCAAAGTCCAGAGAAGGGCATAGGTCCCCAGTAGTCTGAGAACGTCCCTACATCGAGAGACTGCCTGTTGGCTCCGTCAGCGGTTCCTCGGCCATCGCTTCCTTAGGGTCGGCCCAGAAGAAAGCGCAGAGGCGGTTCCCTCACAGGCGGGGGTGCTTGGTTCGCTAGGGTGGGAATCCCATCGCCCAAGTCCCGGGGGAGGTAGACACCCCAAAATCCAAAGTCCTTAGCCAACTGCACGGGACGTGAACCTGACCACCGGTGCAGGGATGCAGGAGGTGGGGTCCATCTCCGGGTCCTCCGGCCCTTGCGGACCGGAGGTGGGATTGCTCCTGAGAGGGTCTCGACAGCTAAGGTCTCCCCGCGTCCCCGAGCCCTCAGCCCCGCCCGCCACGATTAGGCACCGGGCATCCAAGCCCACGCGCAGACGAGCTCCAACAAGTGGCTCCTGCCTGCGGACAGGGCCGTCGACGGCGGAGTCCGCCGCTATCCCGTCAGCCCGTCCTGGCCGGTCCCGCTCTCTCCCGCGCCGGTCGACCCGCCTCCTCTATCCCGTCCTGCTCTGCGGCGCAGGGGCAAGATGGCTGCTGAGAAACAGGTTCCTGGAGGCGGAGGCGGCGGCGGCAGCGGCGGCGGGGGCAGCGCCGGTAGCGGTGGTGGACGCGGTGCCGGAGGAGAGGAAAATAAGGAAAACGAACGGCCTTCAGCCGGATCGAAGGCAAACAGAGAATTCGGGGATAGCCTGAGTTTGGAGAGTATCCTAGAGTAATCGGGCCTAACTCGCAATGACTACGTGTCGTTCTGGCGGGCCGGGGGCGGGAGAGGCGGCGGGTCCCGGCACGTCCTGGGCAGGAGAGGCCGAGGGTTGCAGTTTCTCTCGCCCTTACTTTTTGGCGTTCCGAATTCCAGGGTCTGTGTTTCAACCGGCCGTTCTCGTCTCCTTAGCCCTGCAGTCTGGGGAACGTCGTCTTATTTCAGGCGGCCCCGGGATATTGGGCACATTTCTGCAGTTTCCCCGCAGTTGCCCAGTTGGAGGGCTGGTGACCAGGATGACACTCCGGCCACCCCGGTGAGCTCCTGCCTTGGCACCTGGAGCCACTGAACTGGGAAGAGGAAACGGCAGTCCTGACGTTTTGGTTTAATATTTTTGTCTGACAGCCGTCGGAGATGAGTAATAAAAATTCCAGTTTGATGCTCTGGAAGTGGAGGCAAAGATTGACTGCTCTAAGGAACAGCTTGTTGCCATTTTGAATGTAAATCATCGTGGCTTGTTAACATCACGTATAGCTTTCTTAATAGGTCTGTAGACATTTTGTCTTGTTGAGTCGTTCAGAGGAGCTGGAGGAATCAGTTTCTAGTTTTCATCAGAGTGTATCACAATTGAGTGCTTATGACACTCGTTTGTGGCTTTTCGAAATCAATAACAAATGGAGAACATTTAGGTGAATTTCTGAAATAACACATTTAGCTTGAATCAATGTAGTTAAGTTTTCAGGGGTTTGGAGTTTTACTTTTTGAACTGGCAGTACACTTCCAGATGGCTGTTAGAATGCCTTAATTTTACTACAAGTGGTTTATCTTCTTGTCCCTTTTTGGTTGTTGAAATAGTCCTTTTAGTGTTCAGTATTTTAAAATGCATCATAGGGAAGCATTGAGGAAACTTTAAAATTGTAGATAAAGGGTTTTAGACTTCCTAAAGTTTGGCACATAGTCAAATATTTTAAGATTCATGAAAAGAGTTTGGTCAGTGCTGCTTCTTTTAAAAGAAAAGCTTTAATATATTTATGCAAACTGTGGCCTCGTCTGGTTGGCATGTGCTAACCATAGGCCATGCAGCATCAGAGCCGTTAAGGAAAGTTAGATTTGGCAGATGTAAGTGGTTATGCAAATAGGGAGCAGTACCTGAGTTTATATCCTGGATCTGTCTCAGTGAGTAAAATACTGGGTCCAGGTGTAAATCAGTGGGAACCACCCCAGTTATAGTCAGCATTCAGAATCCAGCAGCTTTATTTAAGCTGTTGGGTTTCAGTAGTCCTCAATGGCTAATAATACCCTCCTTTTTTAGTGTGAAAGTAGTAACAGTTCCAGCAGTCAACTTGTCTACACATTTTGGCCTGTCCTGTGACAAGATAGCTTTTGAAAATGGTTACAAGAGATTTGGCTAATGTACTGAGTATTTCAGAAAGGTTTAATGTGTTATGGTTTGATACAAATATAGACTAATGAG